AGAATTGACAAGTAGTAAAAAGAAGGATGATATTTATGTTAAGTTTACCACACTGAGGCTTGAAGCTCTAGCTTCACCAATGGAACAATAGAGAATTGGGAAAATATCTTTTCCTTTTTAAATTGTATAGTGATAGATAGTTGATTATATCTCTAACTAACTCAGTAACCACCTTTAATCAGTTAATTAGGCAACTAACTAATACTGTTCTTAGTAGAGAATTAATGTTGTTCCTTTTTTAAAAAGTAATCAAGACAAATAAATTGAAATGGAAATAGTAAACGAGAAGATCTTATATATATTTTGAATAATTACCTTGGTCTTTGTCCCCTGTGGTTGATGGCGGTGGTGGTGTTCCCGTACTCCCTTCGTCTTTGTCTCCTGGTGTGGGTGATGGCGGTGGTGGTGCTCCCGTGCTCCTCCCTTTCTCAGGATTTTTGAATTGATAGCTTAAATGGAAGCTCTCATGTACAACTCTACATTCACGAGGTACAGATTTAGGTATTACAAACCGCGCACCCTTTAGGCAATCGCGACAAGCTTCAGCTGACAAATCTGGTGTACACTGCACCATGCCATACAACTTCTGAGATAATGACCACGGTGTAATTTTGAGGTTTTGATCAAACTAAGTTATTATATAAAGTAATTTATTAAAATAATATGTTTTTTACAAAATTAGTATAAACGTATTTCACAGTAACGTTTTAACGTATATATTATTTTTTAAAAGCTGACGGCATTAGATTGATATACGTCACTCACAATAACATTTTACTACTAAAACGTTACTTACATAAGGGGTAGAAAATTACTTATAAATAAGTTCAGGCGGTAATAGTACTTTAATATAATATAAGTGTGTCTCTCGAATTTCGGACATAGATTTAGGGGGTGCTTGTGCATTTTCCCTAATTAAAAATAAAAATAATAATAATAATAATAATAATAAAAATAAAAATATAATAAAATAATAATAATAAAAGAATAAAGGATAAAAAGGTAATATACTTGATCAACAAAAATGGCTTTTATATTGAGAAAAAAAAACACCCCTCACCTAATTTTTAGTTTTTGACTTAAAATAAGTCAATTTTGATTTAAAATAAGTCACTTTGATAATTGTCAAACACTCTAATAAGTCAAAAACTGATTTTCAAGTCAGTTTGACTAGTTTTTAAGTCTCTCCAAACAAGCTCTAAGTATTTAATAATAAAGGTAAAACATGGAAAAGATATTATTTTTCTTGATATGTCAAAATTGACAAGTAAAAATAAAAATCTATTTTAGAAATAAATGACAAGTAAAAGCAAATGGAGCAAATATTTAATTGTAAGAATAAAATAAACACAATATGATAAAATACTCATTGGTTTTATAAACAGAACAAGTATAGTTTAACGTTTCAAAATAATATAGTGAACAAGTAACATAGACTTGTGTGAATATTTTTTAATTCTAAAAATATATAGTGAGCTAATATTTATTATATCCATTAAAATAAATAATTATCTGAGCAACACATTATTATTAAATTAAAAATAAATACTAGTAAGAACAATAAAGTAAATAACAAATAACTAGCAATTAAAAGTAATTTGTATTGAATATGATAAAGAATTAAGTAATTTAAGTTATAGTAGATACCAAATGAATAAATATAAATTAATACAGGTACTGCAGTTCATTGCAGATAAACAACCATTTGTCTTGCTGTCAAAGAAAATATTTAGCATAAAAATTAAGCAGAGGTTAAAAAGTAACTAAGCAATGAGAAAGATAAATTTCTCGCAGTAAAAAAAATGATAGTATTTTTCCCTTTTTAAATATTATTAATATGTTGTAAAATTAATATACAAGTAAATTATACAGAAATTACGATCCCTCGTAAATTTTATAAATATTTATTATAAAAACACCACAAATACCATATCGATTAATATACGAATAATTGTTATATAACATTTGAAAACTTATCTATCAACTATGATATAAAACTAATATAAAAATAATTTTTTATTCTATATATAAATAGAATATAATATAAAATTAATATATAAATAATTTCATTATTCATATATTAGATGTAGCTTAAACCAGCTACCAGTCCGTTCTAATTTAATTATTCATACATTTAATATTTGTAATATTACATATTACAAATATTTAATATTATTTGTAAATATTAAGTATGAGTCGAGGGTCCAGATAATTGTGTGCCGATTTCTGAGAACTAGTAATTTTTATACTAATTAATCTTTTTTTAAAATTTTAAAAACTATTAAATACATAAAAAAGATATTAGACCAAAACCTAACAACAAGGCAGACTTTTACTCCGGTGGTAAAACATTTTGAATGATTTAGATTAACAAAAATTTACAAATATTTGTATGATATTACTCATATTTTTAAAAAATGCGTTGAAAAATAACGAGTTTTAAAAAAAATATGATGCAAGTGGTGAAGGATACAATAACACTGATTAAATAAATAGTTTTCATACTTTTTCAGAATGCATTAAATAAAACGTAAAATCAAACTATAAAAGAAAAGGATATATAAAAATATTAATGATAGAATGTTCATACTTTTCAAAAACGCGTTAAGAAAGTCGTGATATCCTACAAGAAAATGATGGAAATGGTGGAGGATGAAAATAAGAGGTTGGTGGGGATTGGGATTAAATTTATGAACTATGTACCCAAGTTACTTGGTAGTTGGAGGGGAAAAAATCGTATTAAATGTAATATAATTCATTATTATTATACGAATTATTTCAAAAAAATTATATGGACGATATGAAATTACTTTTGCCCCAAAACAAAATATTTTATTGTAACCCTTTAAGTACGTAGTCATCCAACTTGATAAATGACCAAGAACAATCACCAAAGGAAACACTATTCTTTGCAAAAATATTATAGTCACGTGAGAAAGTGAGTGATAGACTCTAATGTTATTAGATGTATTAGTATAAATAAAATTGACTTTATCATAAGCTTAAATTGAGAAAGGAGAAGAAATTATCGATCTTTGTGACTCAAGGACAACCAAAGTTTTGAAAATAGAAGAAGTTCTTCTCAAATCACATCTAATTAAATCTTAACATTGAGTGATGTATTACATGTTCCTAATATTCGTATTAAATTGATTTATGTGAAATTATCAAAACAAGTTGGTGTGAATTTTACTTTTTTTATGATGATGAAGATATATTGATCAAAAATTATTATTTTTGCGAACTATAAATTTTATTGGTATGACTTGTTTGCGCTTAATATTCATAATATTTTTTGCAATAATGTGTTGGTCATATAATTGAGTTTATTTCTTTATGACATATGCTAAATTAAGACACTTTAACATCTCATATATAAGTTAATATTTTATTTAAATTTATCTTGATGTACATTTATTTATTTTTTAAAATTTGAACTGTCTATTTATCATGTTTATGAATACATAAACTATGCACAACTAAACGCTAAGAAAAAAATCTTTAATCATTTAATGTGTTAATTTAGAAATAATACTTTAATAATTTAGATAGGTATTTAAGTTCAAGTGTCCTAATATTAATAAAAATACATACAACTTAAAAATGTATATTCTTAAAATTAAAATTTAGCGAAAATATCAAATATACCTCTTAACTTTTATTAATGATTTTGGTATACTCTTCGTTATATTTTGAGACTTTATATACTTCTATCGTCACACTTTTGAATCATCTATACCCTTTTAAGTCAAAAGGAACACAATCTCAATGATTTATTTCGTTTTATTATATTTTTTATCTAAAATTAAAAGACCCGCCCAATTATTCATTTGTTTACTCAATTCAATTATTTTTTTGAAAATATCCTTACAAAGCATTCAATTCAATTTCATATATTCCTATTCTCAATAATCAGAATATGAAGTGTTTTCATGGTTGAAAATTCATTAACACATTTCAAATCTTCAAAATCTTTGGCAAAGATAAAAAACAAAAAAGAAAGTTGAGTAAAGCAACAAGATTGAAGCTGTTAGGGTTTTGAGGAAAAAATGGAGAATTTGGCGGTGGAGAAAATCAGATAATTTTTTCTATCTTTTTTTTTATATATAATTTTTTTAGTATGGGAATTATGTGGGTAAATAAATGGATAGTTGGGTGATTTTTAAAATTTTTTTGGATAAAAATAAAGTAAAATCGAATAAATTATTGAGTTTGTGTGATGTGTCTCTCCTTTTGGTTTAATGGTATGAAAGTAAGAGAACCTCAAGATATAATGATGGATTTATGCATACCACTTCTAAAAGTCCTAATGAATTCAATTTAATATTATATGATTTAGATTTTTTTAAAGTTTTTTTCTGTTTAATAAAATAATTTTTCGACTCACTAGTTTAATGTGAAAGCGAAGGAGCCATATTGATTCTAGGTAAAATATTTCTCAATTTTGTTATTTAGAGTTGATATATTTTTATTATGAAAGTAGTTCAAATATATTCTACTATTATACAAATGACCTGCATATATCATTTTCATCTAACCAATGTGAAAATAAAATTATTTTAATTATTTTTAAAAATATATATAATCCATATGAGGTATATATAATCCATCTCACACATATATCTTTTAACTTGTTTATTTCTTAACTAATTCAAATTTATTATTTTAGTGGTTAAATTTATTTATATTTCATTATTTTTTTTGTAAAATTTATTTATAAATGTCCCAGTTTTTTTAACTAATATAAAAGCTAAATTACAATATAGCTGAAAAATAGTTTAAAATTATAACATAACCATGAAAAATAGTTTTAGAAATATTCCTTTATACAAAAGAATGAAAGGAAAAAAATAAGAATAAGAAACTCAAACAATTATTGTTGTTCCAACGATTTTGCTGTTTTAATTAATATAAAATTTTATCAATATTTTATATCCTTTAAACTCCGGACTCTAATTAATATCCCTCAACTCTAAATAGTATTGGATATATTGAGTGGGGAAAGGAATTAGTGGTTTCCTATTGACCAAGTCATATTTATACGGATGATAAAGACGTTGGAGTACACCATATTATAGCTATAACAAGAGGATTTAAAGGAAGAGGATCGAAAATGCAATTGTTTGGAACGATTCGACAAAGAAAAATCTTGGCCTAACTCAATTTTAAAAGTTAGCTATAAGAAAAGTTTGTTCAAAATCATCTAAAAAGACCAATATCTAATCCACTATCGATATAAGACTTCTTAACCATTTCAATGTTATCATTGTCTCGATCAGAAGTTATATGTCATACCATGGTGCATTGTATATCAGATCCATCAACTGAATAATCCTCAAGGGGAGAATGGGAGCACCATCATCATCACCTGAACATGGGCACAAAGACGAAGGTAATTACTGAGTACATCTTTATTTCGATTTATTTTTTTAACCCGATTAAAAAAGAATAACAAAATTAACGACACAAACAAATTCAAATGGAATTAGTATACTTGCCAAATTAGATGCAGTGAATTTATTTGTAGGAGGTTGTATGTGGAGGCAAATTTCCTACGGAAAAAAAGAAAACAATTTCACATATATAGTATCAAACAAAAAATGGACATGATATACTCTTTAATTTTATCATTTAGAATTGATATATCTATCGTCATGATATATATATATATATAACCTTATTGTTATGTAAATAGTTCACATATATCCTTATCTTTACAAGAGAGCTCATATAGGGGTGTACTATTAAATTATTATTTTTTAAAATCATATAGGGGTGTACTTTTAAAGTATGTTTTAATTTATTTTATACTAGATATCAGGTGTCCGAGCAAAAGCAGGCCCAATGTATGTTAATTTTTTTCTTTCAATTTATGTGACACAAATAAAATTTGAAAAAGTGAACTAAATTTTTTATATGTGTTTTTTTCAAAAATATTTTAAATTATTAATTTATGTACCTTTTGTATCATTTTCGAATAATATATATTACTATATTTGTTTTATTTTATATGATACAAGTGATTTTAGGAAAGTCAAAGAAATTTCTTCTATGATCCTCACATACTTTTAGTTGTCATTTTAATGTGATTCATAGTACTTTTTAATTCTTACGTTATTTTCAAACAATATATGCAACTTTTTTTCCCCATAAAACTAAGGGAGACAACCATATTTCATTATGTTTTTAATTATATTTTTCTAAAAATATTTTAAATTGTTACATTGCATTTTTAAGCTTTTTTAAATGTAATTTTCAAATATGTAACAAATTAGAAATTAAAACGAAGAATTAAAGTTTTTAAATCATTATATTTCTATATTAGAATGTTCAAATCTTTAAAACTACACATATATGCACAAATTAATAGAACGTTGCCAAACGATTTCTTTGAAAAAAAAATATATGAGAGCTCATTTAGTAATAACACATATATATTTCGTTTTTAATATTTGAATCCCTCCTTCTCGATTTATATAAACTTTTTTTTATTTTGTTTAAAAAAACATCTGAAATTTAATTTTTTTTATAAAGCATATTTAAGATCACAAAATTAAAAAGTATTTCAATATACAAAAGTTAAATATACATATAAATTTTTATTTTTATTTTGATTGATTTCATCTAATATTATACTTGATATATAATTATTAAGAGCTAAGCGTAATCATTATTTATTTAATTTCATATAATAAATAGATATCACAATAACTCTTAAAAAATGAAGAAATAAAGAAAATGTGGTAATACTATTAAAAATCACTAAAGATGTTTCTACAACTATTTATTTTGGTTAATATAAAATTTTATATACCGTTATGGAATTTTTTAAAAATATTTTATACCCTTTAGGCTCCGAACTCATATTAATTGTGGTTGTATTGTTATTAAAGGGACGGACCCACACTATATGGATAGAGCGGAGATGCACTCGTTAATTTTTGAAAAAATCATATGTATATATGTGTATCTATTTTAAAAAATAATGAAGTGTTTGTATTTAGCCTATTTTATATTATTTTTATTTTTATTTTTATTTTAGGTTAAACCTCATATGCTATGTTTATATTGGTGCACCAAAGACTTCAAATCTCGAGTTTACACATTTCTCTTCTTTTTTTTCTAATGAAAGTAAAAGAAAATTAATTTATAATTTGTACGGGATATATTTAATCATCCTCACACGTTCTTTTTTTTTTTTACTTTTTTTTTATGATTAATTTAAATTTTGTTATTTTCATGGTCAAATTTATTTATATATATCACTAATTTTCTTGTAATTTTATTATAAATGCCTCTTTTTTTTACAAATACAAAAATTAAATTACAATATAATAGCAAGAAAATAGTTTTAAATTATAATATAGTCACACAAAATTAGTTATAAATTATATGAAAAAATTTAAAATATACCTTGAACTCTCCTAAATGGATCATATATATCCCACATGATCTTTTTTAAAAAAATTAAAAGTCGAAAAGAATAATTTAAAACTCATTTGTTTACTTTGTTACTGTCTAGATATATATAAACTATTTGTATAACAATAAAAATATAAAAGAGTAATTTTTTTTTATAACAAGAAATATATCAACACTAAATAGCGAAGTTAAAAGGAGTATCAGTCCTTTTCCCTTTTATTAATTACTAACAAAGTTTTTTCTCGTCAAACAACTCATATCCTATGTTGTTATTTATAAAAGTTTTATACACAAGATATTACATATTTAGGGATTAAATGTTTATATATCAACTTGATTTTCTGAGCCTTAGTCACTCGTCCAGTCTTTCTTTTAGGTTGTTAGACGGAGAAAATGATTTTTTTAACTTTAATATATTTTATTTTATTAAAATAATTTTTAATATATAAAAAATGTATTTATTTTAATCCGTTATATATTCATTTAATTGAAATGATATGTTGATATTTAACAAAAAAATATTTATTTCGATCTTTTATCTTAAACTTGACAAATTAATAAGAAAAATTGTTAAATTTAACTTTGAACCCTACAGGCTAACAAAATTTATCAGGCTAACTATTTTCTCCTACAAAATTAATTATTTCTCACTCCTGAAATATTATCCCACCGATCTTATACCTATTTCTATTTATAAGAAAATTATATATTTTTTTAAAAATTTTATTATATCACCCTTATGTCTTTAAACAAACAGTCAGTTTGCCTAACTTAGACCTCATTTGTTTGTACTTAATGAGGTCTGAATCTTAATCATCCTCATTCAGCTTATTAAGTACGTTTGATTTTTAGGTCTGAATTTGAATCATTCAGATTCAACCCATTAAGTTCACTTGTTTTATTTTTAAAAAGATTCTTAATGCTTCTGAAGAGGTCTGAATGAATCATATCTGTAGGAAAATCTTAACAACATTCAGACTCATTTAATAAGTTATCAAATAATAAATCATTGCTTTTCTGCTTTAAGCGTGCCTTTTTATGTTATAACTAAAAACTTTCTTTCTCACTTTTCAGGATTAAACACCTTTTTTTCAAACTGGTAAGTTTTCATAAATCCTTACAATTTTTTTTTATATTAATAATTTTCTTGTATTTACTGTGTCAAAAACATTGTTGGTGTATTGTCGTTTATCAAGATTTTCGAATGAAAAATATTGTACTTTCAAATCATGATTATTAAAACTTTTAAAACTTTTTTTATCAAAAGCTATATGTTTTGTTGAATTGAAATTTTTATGATATTTTATTAATTTAATGTTAATTTCACATGCACATTCAGATTTTGAAAAACAAACAATATTAATTATTTAGTGTTCAGATTTAGAGACCACATCTTAATATTTAGATGTGTATTCTCAGAAGAGAGGTATGCATTGTCCCCACTTAAGTTATTAAGTATTCCCAAAGACGAGGCGATTTATTTTTATGTTGAAACTTTATGTTCCAAAGAGTTTAAAGTAGATTTCAGACTTCAATAAGTTTCCCTCAATGAAAGCGGGGATTTCTGCCTAGCAGTAGGTGTCAGGTGAAGGGGCAGAGACGTCCTCTTTCGATTTTAATATTCAAATGCGTATTCAAATTTAAACATTTTAATCTTAATAAAAACAAATGAGTCCTTAGAGGCCGGTGGGGGCTGTGGGGGATTCCTGATTTCATATAAAGCTTTAAATGAAACATTAAATTTACAACTAACAGATGATTTTATTGGATGGTAAAATTAGTCACATATAATATATGAGATGGTTAATCAATTATGAGTTTTTTCTTATAAAATTATGAAATTTTGATTTTTAATTTAAAAGTTACTTTACATAAGTTTTTTTTCTTGGTAGATCACTCTAAGTATGTCTATTTTTTTTATATAGAAAATTACTAAATTTTGATTTTAACTCAAAAGTCATTCAATTAAAAGTGTTTTACTTATAAAATCAATCAATTAAAAAATAATTTAGGGCCCGTTTGGATGGGCTTAATAAAAGCAGCTTTAAAAAAGTACTTTTGAAAGTGTTGAAACTTATTTTTAAAATAAGCAGTTATGCGTTTGGATAAAAGTGCTGAAGTTGCTATGCCAAACGTGAAAAGGGAAAAATGAAAGAAATAGATGTTAGGGTTATGTGGGTAATTTGAAGATTGTATAAAAAATTAAGGACAAAAAGATAAATATGTGGTCAACTTAAAACAGTTTATAAGCTAAAAAAGAAAAAACACTCTTACCCCAGCTTTTAACTTTTGGCTTAAAATAACTTTTTTTTAACTTAAAATAAGTTATTTTAAGTATTGTCAAACAGCTAAATAAGTTAAAAACCAGCTTTTAAGTCAGTTTGACCAGCTTTTAAGCTGAGCCAAACAGGCTTTTATTTACAAAGTCATTCAATCTATTTAATTTATTTTTTCATTAAGATTTACTAACAAAAAATTATTTTAACCAAAATTTTAAGAAATAAATAGATATTCATCTAAATAATTTAGTAAGAGATGATAAAAAATAACTACTCGATTTGTATCTAATAATTTTGTTTTTAAGTTTAGTAATGCAATGGGTTCTATAGTTGAGTAATTTTTAAATTAATAATTAGTGATTTTCTGAGCAAATAATCTATAGTTGAGCATCTGAAGGATGGAAACCAAATGACTAAATAAAGAATTGGCTTCAACTAATTTGAATGTTGTTGACAAGATTATCGAAAATACTGCCGTTGAAGTTCATATTAATACTTGACTTGTATATTTTTGCATTATATATCTAAGCATTTTTGGCTCTGCAAAAATAAAATTGATTGATATCGAACCGAAAAAGTGTTATTAGGTTATTGAATTACGACCAGGTTTGATAAAAAGAATTACTAAGTTATCGATTTGATATTGATTTTTTTTAATAAAATCATTTCTATACCAAAAGAAAAATATAACATGGAAAAAATAGAGATTTATTGTATTTCACACCTGTAATCACACAACAACAAGAGGGGTAAATAGCAAGAAGCAGAACAAAAATTGACATTAAAACAAAATAACAACTTAATCAAATCCATCAATTAAAATTCATCAAGTAAGTTTCCTTCCATGTCAAGCAATTGAATTAGTCGTCTCCTTTGCATCCTCTCTACAAATATTCAACTTTATATATGTTAATCTTCGAAATTTTTGAAATGAAATTTATATATATATAGACTTTGTAAAAAGTAATACAAGTTATAATAATTTACAGTTTAAAATATTTAAAAGATATATGAAAAATTATTGATAAAAAACTTATTTGATTTCAAAATTTGAAATATGTCACATAAATTGAAACAGAGAGAGTATCGTTTTCTTTTAAACCAATAGTTTAATTTTGTGTTACCTCTCTCAGTTCTTCTTCTATTTCTTCTCTTAAGGTAAAGGCAAGATCCTGTCAATACAACGGCCAGCAGTGCTATAATACCTATGACGATACAGATAACCTTGGTATTCCAAGTAATTTCCCCTGAAAACACAAAATAGCCTGTCAAAGATTAATATTTTTAAAGTTTTTTTTCTTTATAAAAAATGAGAGAAGTGATAAAAATATATCGTGCTAATTTAGCTTAAATTATTAGTTTCATTCTCGAAGTATTCATAGCTTTAAAAACATCATTTTACTTGACTAACTAAATTTAATACACCAATCTTGCAACATGAATAAAATAATATCTTTAAATTTTCACGAGAAATATTTTCACCATATAAGTGGGTAAAAGAAGAATACTTGAGCTTCAAGCAAAGAAGATGGAGATCTCAGGCCTTCGCAAAATCAAAGGTCTCACCGGAAACTAGACAAACACTTTTTTGACTTTTTATTAAGAATTAAATGTTCTACAAGTGGTTCAAACCACTTGCAAAATCATGTGCCAGATCAGAAATATATGGGATGTATTTAGTTACCCCAAGTTCATAAATAATTTCAATAATTCTCTCTTAAAAAATTGATCTTTTTGAAGTAATTAGTTTACTGTGGAAGACGCGGGAATATTTAAGGCCTCCATACCTAGAAGTAAAATCATTACTGGCAATTTAACAAGTAACCTTTGTTTCAATTTGTCTGTGTGATTAACTCTAGCATGTGACTGCACTAATTAAAAAAAACTGAACCCTAGGTAATATTTATACCAAATTTTAAAAATATTTACATAAAATATTTAATTAACTGAGATCACATATTTACCGAGGTTTTAACCAAACTAAGTTATTATATAAAGTCATTCACCAAAATAATATGTTTTTTTAAAAAATTTCAAAACTAGTATAAACGTATTCCAAAGTAACGTTTTAGGATATATTTTATTTTTTAAAAGTTGATTGCGTCAGATTGATATACGTTACTCACCGTAACGTTTTACTCCTAAAACGTTACTCACAGTAAGTAACATTTTAGGAGTAAAACGTTACTGAAAATAACGTTTTAAAAGTGAAACGTTACTTACAGTGACGTATATCAACCTAATGCTGTTAGTTTTTAAAAAATAAAATATACCCTAAAACGTTACCATGAAATACGTTTATACTAATTTTGTAAAATTTTAAAAAAATATTATACTTTGATAAATTGTTTTATATAATGACTTAGTTTGGTTAAAAATTCCATATTTACCTAACTTATTTTTAGCACCTGATTTCACCATATATATTATATGTGAAGTATAATATACTAAAATGCCCTTTAATTTTATGTTAAATTTTCCGCACGAAGGCTTGAAGCTCAAGCTTCGCCAATGGAACAGTAGAGAATTGGGAAAATATCTTTTCCTTTTTCAATTGTACAGTGGATTATCTCTCTAATCATTTAATTAAGCGACTAACTAATATCGATCTTAACTCAGAACTAATGTCGTACCTTTACCCAAACGGACTAAAAAGAAAAGTAATCAAGATAAATAAACTAAAACAGAAGTAATAAACGAGAAGATGTTATTACCTTCGTCTTTGCCTCCTGGTGTGGGTGATGGCGGCGGTGGTGCTCCCGTGCTCCTCCCTTCGTCGGGATTTTTGAATTGATAGCTTAAATGGCAGCTCTCATGTACAACTCTACATTCACGAGGTACAGATTTAGGTATTACAGACCGCGCACCCTTGAGGCAAGCGCGACAATCTTCAGCTGACAAATCTGGTATACACTGCACCATTCCATACAACTTCTGAGATAATGACCACGGTGTGATTTCATCTAAACTCTCCGCATATTTCAAATCATTTGTAACTTTAGGAGTAAGGTTATCAAACATTGCATCTGAAATCCCTTTCACTTGCGTCGTCCATGAAAAGCTCTCCGAGTTGTAATCGATCCAATAATAAGACGAGACATTAAACGTGGATGCGAAGTCAGGTATATCAGAATAGCGAACCAAACACTGATCATACCATATAACTGCCTGTTTTTTGTGCGGACATTCGCGTTGGATCCTCTCAGTAGCCATGTCGATGCAGTTTTGGCAGTCTTTGGGCGCAACGTCTCCTCTACAGAGATACAATCCATGAACTTCATCTACGCTAGGATTTGCGTAGATGTAATTGCTAGCATTATTGTACAATAATCTGTACAACAAGCGGTTAAGATTGAACTGAAATTTGCTTCCTTCTGCATAACCACTAGTTGTATTTGGACAATAGCTTGCCATGTAAGTCATCTTTTCAGCTTTGATGCACACAAGGATTTGTAAGAGAACAAACAAGTAAATTTGAATCGAATTCATTTTTTTATTTCCAATAATGAAGTCTTGACGCAAGGTCTTAATTTATAAGAGTTGCAAATATTTTAATTTTTATATTTTCTAAAAAAGATTAGAGGGAAAATGGGTAACCCAGTTTAAAATTATGTGACGGTGTAGAAATTTATTATATTAATTAACAATGCACAAAATTTAAATTCAATTATAAATATAGTATACTTTAATTTGGTTTTAGCTCATATTTATATTCTTCAATGGGAAAAAATGATTTTCAGAAAAGCCTCATTTATGTTATCAGTTAAAAGTTTGACTAGTTTATGTCATTATCGTTAAAGAAAAAACTCATTCATGCCATTATTTTTTAATACTGGTTTCGCAAAATAATTTTTTACATGTGGTCAATTATAATTCGATCACATCATCAACTTTTTTATTAAAAAAATATCCCTTAAATCATTTTAATTATTTTGTGTATTTTGTTGATTTTATGATTTATATTTGTACTAGTAAGTTTATTTAAATAAATTAGCTTACAAATTATTTAGAGAGAGTTGTTGGTTACTAATAAATTCAATACAAGTTTGAAAAAACGTGAGTTGTATATTTGTATATGAAGTTTGTGATCTAAATTGAATGTGTGTGTGTTTGTATATATATATATATATATATATATATATATATATATTTGCTTGGTTTACTAATTATTTGTATTTAATCAATTTTAAAAATTTACATACATATTAAAACTAAAACTTGCAATTGTACATGTAGATGGTTTATTAAATTTTATCATTGTTGAACATTTTTTCAATTTTAAAAATAGATAGTTTATTTTTTTTTTAATTGAAAAATGACTTTTTGTGAGTGATCAATTCATTAAAATGACAATTATTTATTCTCAACTCAAATAATTCAAGTGAAAAAAATTACAAACAAGAAACTAAATTGTACTTTCGATAGCTAGTTAAAAGATTATAAAAAATAATATTATCCGATAATTATGTACCTTGATCCAATTACATAATAATTTAAGAATATAATTGAAAAAGAATTTTTTATAGAGATTTAATTCAAACACAAGATTAGATGGGAAAAATAAACCAAACATTTAATAAAAATAAATCTTTGTATTACTTATCTCTGCTCTATTTATACCTACTATGCTAATATCTACATCACTAATTAATGAATTATGAATTTTTATACCAAGCGATACTTTATTGTCATCTGACACCGGAAATTGGACGGCAAAAGAAAACATCATACACCTACTTTGTTTGATATTGCAATTAGAACAAAAAAATATATTTTTATATGTTTTCTTATTTTAAGTTTATACATTAATATTTTAAATATCATTTTACATATTTTTTTGCAGAATTAAAAAAAGTTAAACATCAATATTTTTGCAAGATTAGGAAAAGGGAAAAAATATTAACAATTAGAGATTTCAGCCCTTTTGGAAAAAAAAAAGGTGTGATATTGATTGAAAATTTGAACTTATACATTTTGAATCAATAAAAATAACAATTATAGATATTTATAATAGTTTCTCTCTGTAAGATAATTTTAATATTAAAAGTACATTGATATTTTTTTCTCGTGATTTGATTTCTAAAAATATTTTTTAAAAAAAGATATAGTCAAATATAATTTGTTTATGAAAAACACTTCTCAAATAAATTAGTCAAATATAAATTTTTTTTTACGAAAACACTTTTCTAAAAAGCTATTTTAAGAATGTGTTTTTAAAAGTAAGCAATTTTTAGTATCAATACCAAACTTACTACTTATTCTCCTTTGAATTGCTTTTTCCATTTTACTTCTAATAAATATTCATCTCCTTTCATTAAAGATAAAAATAAAATTAAAGTTAATCTGTGAAAATTAGTCAGGATCGCAAAGAAAGAAGACAAATGTTAGGATTTGTCTAGTTCAAAGAAAATCATAATTAGAATTATTTTTCAAGGTGGAAAACGCTTTATTATTGAAAAAAGAGCTAATGTACAAATACCTTCTCAATCTACGTCCGAAATTTTAGAGACATACTTATACTATATAAAGGTCTATTACCCTCCTGAACTTATTTTATTAATAATCCTTTTCGACCTACATGACACCATCTTAACTAATCATTTTTTTTAAAAAAAATAATAGACAAGTAAAAATTAATAATCTTTTATGAGAACAAATTATACGATTCTAAGTTATTTACGTGCAAGGAAGACAAAATCAACCCATAAAAACATAGTTCACTCTATTTGATATATAGAAATTGTATCAAAATATTTTGAATCAAATTTTCTTCTTTGTTTGATGTGTTAGCCAAAAGTCCAGAATAAATAAATAAATAAAAATATTTAAGTCCAGAATAAATAAATAAATAAAAATATTTTATTAGATACTTCAAAATTATAAAAGAACAAATAAACTATAATCTAGTAAAGATCAATGCATTAAAATTCTGACCTACTTTTAATAGCCACATTAGGAGAAATGCCTTTTTATTTTCCGACAGTCTCAGCATCAATAGTCAAAAGTTCAAAATGAAAATGATCCGAAAATAAAGACATTTTTTTTTGAACTTTTGAGATATTTTCTTCGTTTTTATATATCTGTCATATTTTAACTTAATACACCTATTAAAAAATAGTTATTAATATAATAAATTTATCATTTCATTTCTATTAATTAATAAAGTCTTAAATATATTTACTTATTATATTTTTCAAAAATATTGACTCAATATTAATAAATAAAGAGTAAAATAGTATATATTTCTTTTTGAAAATATCAAAAAGGAGAATTAAATTTAAAAATATTTGAGTAGTAATACGAAGTAGAGGGCCTGACCAAAGATTAGTCCCTACACAAGAAAGTGTGGTTGTTAAAGAGTCTATTTTCGTTTGAAATATGGACCAATAAGAAGGAAAAAAACTTTTATTTGCTAATATATGGAAGATTCTAGGAAATAGTTATTAGTTAACATGCTTGCTTTCCTACAAAAAGAAAATTGGTATAGCTGTTGGTCAACATGCTTGCTTCGTAGAAAAAGGAAATTTGGTAAGTTACTATCTAATTATGCTTTATATTTGCTGTCAATGCTTATACCATTTGTTTTCGATACCATTGTTTCTGGTACAGAAGTTTCGATTTTTTTCCCTCTAGTTCCTGTTGTGTCCTTTTGTTGATAATGCAGTACTTTTTCAAAGTTCTATTTGCCTCTTCCAGAAATGTTTGTCATGTTACGTTTATCGAATGTTAATTTGACTAATTTTCAAAGATTACATTAATTTGATATTTTAAACAAAAAAATTAGATATTCTAAAACTATATTAAAAGTACTATAAATTACATTTTTTTGCATATTAATATGATAAAAAAATGCATCTTAAACGTTAGTTAAAATAGTTATATTCACCGGTACTGATCGTTGATACTGTAAAAGTAGTTTTCTTGCTTTTTTGTGCCAACTCATGATCTAAACGAGTCGCATTACGATAAATTTACCGATACATATTGGTAAACATATTGAATGGAACTTTTTTTATGTCTTTG